TCAATTATATCAAAATAGGAAAGCAAATTGCTAAAAAAAAAACTTAAGTTGACGCGTAACACATGCATAATTAAAATTCTAAATTGATGATTTTCATTGCATACTTTTAGGGATTTATTTATATATTGGCTTGTTGAACTTTAAATTTCTTAGTAGTGCATATTTTCAGTAATTTTTATATATTATTGGCAAATCTGCAATAATGGCTATCAATTATAATTTGTTAAATTAGATTTTTTCAATTGAAAACTCAGATATTTTTCTTGCTAACGCCATACTTAAAAAATTAATTGTATAATTATATATTTCTGGGTTTAGTAATAATAATTTGGAATAGAATGCTGTTGTAATAAAAGCATAACTTTCTAAATTTATTTCTGTTTTTGCTAGTGACTTGGTGAACATTTGGGTGAATTTTTCTGAAAATTATGTCTTCATGTCGATATACTCTGATAAAATTTCTATGCCATCCCTGTAATGAAAAAATAAAAAACATTGCATAAGTTTATAACTTTATAAGATTGTTGGTTTTTATTCTTCTATGAATTTTTATACTAAGAGTTTTGCTCCAGATAATAGGGTATTATGCATATTTATAAGTATATTTTATAATATAAGAGATTTCAGCTTTATTTTTTTTTGTTTTCTTTTCTTTTACAAGAGTTTAGAGCTAAAAAATGTAAAATTCAAATAATAAATTTTCGTACATGGAACTATATACGAGTATATATACATATATAATATTATAAGCATATTATAGATATATTTGAACATAATATTATAGAAATATTATAAAATAATAGTTTTATATATTTATTATATACTTTTAAAATTATCCTTTTCGTAAATAACCTAAATAATATATGTTCGTAAAAAGTGTATTCTTCTATATATACTTAAATAAAAGCTAAATAACAAAAAAAAAATTGCTTTGTGGAGAATCTGTAAAAAAAAAAAGTGCATAAGAGTTTTTTACCCTCCTTTTACTAAAAACGAAAAAAAAAAAAATAATTTTGTGCATATTATTTTCATTATGTTGCATATTTTGCAATAATTTAGAAATACTTTGTAAGTATATGCAATATATGCAATATGTATAATGTATACTAGTATCGAAAATTATTATATATCATTGACTTATAAAACAAATAAAATAGACGTAGGAGGTATAGTATACATATTTTTGAAAGTGAATACATAATTTTTGAAAAGTGAAAATATATAATAAATTATTATTGAAAATAAAGAATATTTAAATTGGATGCTAGTTTTTTTTCTGCCTAGATCGGCATATGAAAAACCTGTATAACAGATAAAGTCACCTGTAATATATAAAAGAATTGTGAAAATAATGTGTTATATACACTATTTTTCGTATATGTAAATATATAAGGATCAAATTTGTAAGGAAAAATTTTTATAAGATTTGCACCTTATCTTGATCAGTAACCATAAGTGGTAGAAATGGTGTTCTTGTTATTAAAGTATTTGTTATGTGCTATTAAGGAAACTTTTAATTTAACAATATAAGAATACAATCAATATTGTCTGTGAATGTACTTTCATTTTTTAATTAATAAAAATTAAAATAATTCATAATAGGTGTTAATTTAAAGCATTGAATCTTGAAATTTAAAGAAAACCTAGAACAAAAATTGAAAATTTTCATTAAATTATTTGAAAATGTAAAATGCGCTTATTTTTTAAAAAAAAAAAATTTGTTTTCACCTTTTTGATAAATGATTTTTAAAATCGGCATTTTCAGATCTGAATTTTTAATGTGGTAATTCAATTTCTTAAAAGTTAGTTACAAGCTTTAAGAATTTATTTTTCATTTTCGTAATTAGCAGACATTTTAGCTTTATCTTTTACTAAAAATTATTTTTTTGAAAGTATTATTAATAATTTTTTTATAATATGATGTCAGCATACAATAAATATACAGTCGATATTATTGTGCAATATCGTAAAAAATTTCAAAATTAAATTTTGGGACGTGTGTTTAGATGGTTGATTTGTTAATGACTCAAATTGAAATTGGAAATATGGAAATGACTTTCGAATTTCATTTGGCATTATTTATTAATGTTCAATTTTTAATTAAGTATGCACATATTTCAAAATTAATTTTTGTTTCTAAAGCACTTTATTCACCGGAATTTTAAATAATTCTTCTATAACAATTTTTCTATAATGGACATAATCAATGAAAAAAAAAAGCATTTTATTCATTTGTTGAATTCATAATTATTTTATATTCTATACATGTAATTTATAAAAATATATTAAAAATCACTATTAAAAACGTATGGCTTTTTAAAATAAAATTGAATTTTAGCAAAAAAGGGAGAAATGCAACAGATTATATTTTAATATTCAATTCAACAATTTACACAGAAAAAAAAAGGATATTTATTTTCTATTTTGTTCAATTTCATATGAAAAAAAAAATGCATTTCGTAAATAACACCATTTTTTTCTCTTTTTAATTTATAATTTTATTTAATATTTCGAGAGTCCTTGCCATAAACAATAAACCTTTTGTGCTATTGGTTGTTGTAAAGGCTATCCTTTTTTTTTTTTTGTAACAAATTTTCATTGTGTGAAAGTATTTTGAATGGTGTGTTGTGTATAAGTACAATATAAATTAAACTTTCAATAATTTTTTTTTATTCTTATTTTCTTGATTGATATTAAAAATCAAATGCAATTCTATCTATTTCAAAAGAAATTTTATAATTTTAAACAGAATTATTGAAAATTTTAAATTTAAACTATTTTGTTTCATTGTTAAATTTACAAAAAAGGAAGAGTCATAAAAAATCATCATTGATAAGTATAGGTTTTGTATATAGGTTTTATGAAATAAGTCCAAAAGAAATAACAACCTATAATAAAAAATATATAATTTTCTTGTTACGTTTCCTTGTGCTCCATTTATTGGAATTTAACTCAAAGTAGTTGGAAGTAGTTTGCAAATGGAAATTTTTGTGATATTTTGCATAGAAATCAAGAAAAATAAAGGAATCAAGAAAAATCTGAGGGAAATTTTGATAGAAATTTTTCGATTTCAAATTTCTATCAGTTCTTAAATGTTACATAAAGTGATTCGAAAATTAAACAAATTTTTATATAGAATATTTCGGAAATCAATCAGATTTTGTTAAATTTAATATTTATGCTCACATGAGAATAGTCTCGAGTTTTAGAGTATTTTATAGTAGTAAATTTAGAACAATATGTCAGCAAATTTTAGTTCCAACTATGATATCTGATACTTCAGCAATAGAAAGATTATCAAACATAAAATTACCGAGGTATTATAAATTGCTTATGAAAAAATCAGTTATGAAAAAAAATGGCACATTATTTTCGTTTTGCTTTTCGTGATATTGACTGGTTTGATTCGTTAGGCATTAGGTTTTTGACTTATTGGTAACGTGATTGTCCTTACTTTATTTGGTCGAGCTTTTCAGTGTTCCGCGTAATACTACAGACTATGGGATGCATTAGCCAGTGACGCGTATGATGTGCGAAGCTAACTTGTATTCGTTGTTTTTTTGTACGAACGTAAGTAAGAGGGTGCTTAAGGCCAGACTGTACGGTAGTATTGATCTATTATCTCGCAGTACAGTAGTAGTATAAGTTTGTTTTTAGTCATTTAATTTTTAAGTTACTTATTAATGTTAAATTAATATTCTACTAATATTATTTTTTCCTCACCTTTTCCCTTCTCTTTCCATCTATAAATGATGATGATTTTAGTTATAGTTACTGATAGCTATGTTTGTTGGATAAGTGATATTTTTTGTGCTACACTAGATGCTTTTACTGAGCAATGGTCTGATATTTTATTGGTGACGAATTTTTTTTATAATTCGAAAACATTAAGAAATGATTTTATTTCACAATTAAATTTTTTATTTAAAACTTGAAAACACGTGCTTGAGTGGAGAAAAATTTTCAAATATTTACCAAAGGTAAACTTAATATTTACGTAATTAACGTTAATAGTATCCCCACTTAAATTTGAGTTCCATTTTTAGTATATTGGTAAATAAAATTTAACCTGTGTTAGGTAAACAACAATGTTGTTCAATACAATGTGTTTAATCAATGTGTGAAAGTTTACTCAAGTTTATTTAAGAAATAATAAATTATATAATATACTAAAATAAAATTGGTTATTAAATTAATAAAATTTAATATTATATAATATTAATATTATATAATTCAATTTTAATTTCAGCTTCTAAGGTAAAATATTAGACGTGAATAAAAGATAACCTACAAAATTTAAGTTTATTATTTAAGGTTTATTCTTTATTGTCTGTTAAAGGTTATTGTTTGTTCATGTTTTAAAATTTTGTTTAAACAATTGTATAGAAATTATAAAAAAAATTCGGGCATTAAATAGTAACAATATTTAAATTCTGAGAATTTATTTTAGTGTTATCGAAAATTGAATCAACTTTTTGGATATATTCACTTGTTTACTTTAAATAATGCGGGGTTTTCCGATGCTCCGACTCCTTAAGGAGGGTAATGATCAAATATATAATCATCAAGGTTCCTTAAGATCATTTATTCCAAAAATTTTCTTTTAACATAGTTGCTCACTGAAATTTATTCGTTTCAAACCTACTATATTCAATGTTTGGGAAATTTTCTTTTTCATTAATTTCTTCCTTCATTTTTTTGCAATACACCACTTAATTCACTTCGCATTCTGTCTTTAAGATGATCAAACAATTTCATTGAAAGCTGAAAAGAATTTGAAATTCTTTTATTTGAATATTTTACATAACATTTGTTTTTGTTGACGTCTTTTAAGAAAATATATTAAAATTCTTAACATTTTGATATACATAATTCTTTTAAATAATTAAATAATGAGGTTTAAGAATTATTTTCTTTAAATTTAAGCAATAAATTTTTTTCTTATCTATGTAAAATCAATTTGTTAATATTTGAATTATCTATTTTTTTCTTAATTTTAGGAAGTTGGAAGTATTATCGGTAAAAAAGGTGAAATCGTCAACAGATTTCGAGAAGAGGTAAGTTAAAATTTATTAAATTTTTATTAAAATTTTTTTGGAAAATAGTGGAGGGAAATTAGTATGTCAGTTTTAAACATTTGACCTTCGAACGGTAGAAAATGTTTTTGAAAACTTGACCGAATCTCTTATCATAATCCCATTCGAGAAGAAATTCGGCTAGAATTTTATTGGCGCCTGACTTTTGAGTTAGAGTGACGCCTGGCTGTCTGACATTATTGCTATTTGACATTCACCATAAATTCTATAACTTTGTTTGTAGATACATTTTTCACCAATTTCACGTTTGCATAATTTCTACAATTTTGTTAGAAAAGATCAGAACTTTTATTAATCAAGTTTAAAATTTGATCACGGGATTGGATCTTATTTCACCATATTTTTAAAATATTTCGCATTTTCAGCAATTCATTTATAATTTTTTTGTTTTACCGAATATTTACTTGGACTCTTGTTTATGAATGAGAAACAATCATTAATATTATCTAGATAAATAATTTGTAATTGTTATAATAACTATAATAATAATTTACTATTTTTTTGTTTTTTTTTTTTAAGTCGGGAGCAAAAATCAATATTTCTGATGGATCATGTCCAGAACGTATTGTTACAGTAACCGGTACTACAGGTGCTATATATTCAGCTTTTTCGTTGATAACAAAAAAATTTGAAGAATGGTGTTCACAGTTTAATGATTCTGGTGCATCTGGTGGTAAAACTCAAATACCAATACGTTTAATTGTACCAGCTAGTCAGTGCGGCTCATTGATTGGTAATTTTTTGCTTTTTTATATTCATATATTAATTTAATGTTAGTATTAAATGAAATACTTACAATTTGCTTGTATTATTCCTGTTATTAGGTAAAGGTGGTTCAAAAATTAAAGAAATTCGCAGCACGACTGGATGTTCAATTCAAGTAGCTAGTGAAATGCTGCCAAATTCAACAGAACGTGCTGTTACATTAAATGGAACAGCAGAACAAATAACTCAATGCATATATCAAATATGTTTAGTTATGTTGGAAGTAAGTATCTTTGTAGTAATCTTCTGTAACTTCAGTAATGTTCTGTAAATTTTTTATTCACCCGATGAAATGAGTTGAAATTAGTGCATAATCACATATTCTTTAATAATGTAATTTTAATGTAAGGAAAATATTTCGTATAATGTATTTAAATTTTTCAAGAAATATACTAAATTCTGCTAATTAAGCTAAAAATTTGTAACTCTGATATGAAAGTTCACTCTGTTTTCAATAAAAATGTTAATTTTGAATTCTGATATCCAAAATTCATAATTTTATATTATCACAGCTAATTTTTCTGGATTTTTGAATCCAATTTTCAAAAATACAATTGCAAATCAGATACTGGAGTAAATCTAAAATCGAAACCTTATGTTGTAGACTAAAAACAATAAAAATTTAATTCCTATGAATTTCAGTTTTATATAAATTAAAAATAAATTTGAAATACAATTATGAATTAAAAAAGTAAATTTTTATATTTTTTTCTTTTAAAAAATAGTCACCACCAAAGGGAGCTACCATACCATATCGACCAAAACCACAAGTAAATGGACCAGTAATACTTGCCAATGGTCAAGCATATACAATTCAAGGAAATTTTGGTGTACCGGGACCAGAGGTAAATTTTTTATTTTTATTTTTTTATTTTTTTTTTTTTTTGTATTTTAATATATTGCTTTCTCTGTTGCTTATAATGAATTTATTTCTAAGTATATACAAATATTATTATTTAATTTTATTTATATTTTTAAAAAGAGGAAAAATTTTAATAATTGAATAATTTGCATTTGTTGTTATTTAGAGATTTCACCCTAAACTGACCGCGATCAATTTTAAATTTCATACTTTAATTTATAGTTCTCATCTTTGGAAAGCAGTTGTTGTACCGCCTTCGGTAAAAATTGTTATATTTACAGCCCCAGCAGAGTAGTTTTCGGATCAAATTTGCTAATTATCTAGTATTCAATTTTAATAATTAAAAGATTTTAATTGTTCTATATGAATTAATATTACTAAATTATCAGAAGAATGAAGAATTTTCATTTACAAATCACGAAGAAACAACACTGATTAATTGAAAGTGGTTTAAGATTTTCTCACCAAATTTCTGACATTGAAATAATTATTATTTTTTTTAAATTTATATTTTTTTCCTTGATATTATTATGCAATTGCATAAATAATTTTCTTAAATAATTTGCTTTCAGTATTTATCTTTTAATGTATAAAATTAATTAAGACATTATTACAAATTTTATTACGTGTATTATTCACTCACTATTTTGTTAAAGTGATATAAAATTTTATTATATTTTTCGTTTTTGTTTTTCCTATGATTTTCTGACTACTCTTCAAATTTGAATAAACATATAACGTATAAGCATATATGAATAATATTATTTTTCATATATTCTTATTATTTTGCTATATACTTATTTCACGTAGAAGTAGTACAATATTTATGAAAATATAAAAAAGAAATGTACAGGGTATCCGAAATTCGATGTTACTTTCGAAGTAGAGACAATGAAGAATGGGTCGTGACAAATAAAAAGTAACAATATTCAAGGTCACGCTGCTAAGCACCATTTACTTTTTTTCGTACGAACCTGGAATTACGACAGGTAAAATTAACTTAGCCAATTGACACTCAAATTTTCGTCTCGTTATTCCCGAAATTTTCACGGTAACATTTGATTTGAAGATCAGAAAGATCAGAATTTGCAAAGATAAACAAACGCTTTTCACAAAGGTCTCCAACCGCATAATTTGAGAAAGGGTTCGAAAAAAGGAAAATGTTTTCAATTATTTCTCATTCGCCTGGGTCTGTTCTATCATTTTGCTACGGGAATACTATCGATGTTGGTACACACAGTAAATACGTAAAATTATATATGCACATATATATAAATATATGAATAGCAATATTTAATTGAAAAAACAAATAAAAAGAAATTTTTCATTGTCAATGTTAAAGTTTTAAAAAAAAAAATTTTTTTTTTCGTATTTTGTAGTTTATTTTGTGAAATGCAAGAAGAAGACAAAAATTTTAATTATGATTATAATTATAAGAAAAGAATTTCTTTACTGAAATCCGAATTCGAAATTTTTAAATTTAAATATAAAAAATATTTTAATTTTTTTTTCATCTAGGAAATATATTTAAGAATGAAATTTATCCTAGAATCGCTGAAGTGTGTTGTACGTGCATTTACATGAAATAAAACTTTTTTAAAAATTTAAGAACAAAAATATTTCATAATAAATTATTTTCTGATAAAAATATCCTTGAGCTGTACAATATATTTATTTACAAAAAAACAAATACCCCGAATTCAAGTTAAAATACGGTCATAAAATTATAAAAATAACGGTAGCTGTGCTGGGATTTTTGATAAGACAAGGTATAAAATGTTCAAGTATAAATGTAAACTGATGATAATTTTTAAAAATCTAAATTATTTATGTATTTTAATAATTTACAAAAATAAAACAATAAAAAATCAATTGATATTTTAGATGCGGTTTTGCGGATAAAGTAGTAAAAGAAAAATATGAAAATAGGAAAAATGCGTTTTATGTGTGAGACTGATATTATAGAAGTATGAAGCGTATCGAATAACGAATATAATCATTTGAAGAATTCAAGAAATTTAAGTAATTCAAGAGATTCAAGAATTTTATGAAAGAAAATATGAGAATTTTTTTAAAATCTTATAAGTATATTATGAAAATCTTATAAGTATATTATTGGAAAATTTATATAAAAGAATAAATGAAATAATATAGGAGATCACACTGACTGTCTATGTATCTTTAGCAGACTAATGATACATAGACAGTCATCGTAAATGAAATTGAAAATGAGCGAGAAAAGGGAGGTGATTCGATTCACTCATTTAAAAAGAAGAATTATAATGAACTTTCTTGCTAACTAGTGCCTTAATTTCGAAATAAAATCTCATTTTCCTGATCAATATGAAAAAAATAAATCTAATTTTATCTTTATCTTTAGCTTATTTTTTTTTATCATTATTTTAATATGAATTTGTTGAGAGTAACTAATAGAAATGAATAATTCGAACAGTAAATTTAAGAATAGTCAGCATTTTGATAATTTGCCTGGCGTTAATTTTTACGTTTGACTTTTAAACTTTTTATTTGATTCATGTGTTACAACAACCTATATATTTATAATTTTGATTGTTAAATTTTTAATGATAAAGATATTGTATGAGTAAAAACCATAATTTAGAGTGCTATTAAATTCACAAAATTTATTGTTAATATATCTATAAGGAGGGTATTCAAAGGAGCACAAGTCATAGAACTGAAATTTTTAGGAAGAAAAATAAACTGACGGAAATTATTTGTTTTGCGTTGCACATAATCTATCAATTTATTTAGAAAATTAATGTTTATAGATATTTTGTAAAGATTTAGCAATTGGTTTTGTTAAATTTTTAGTAATTATTGAACACGTTCAATGAATTTTATGAAATTATGAATTATTTAAATACTGAATTTACCATCAAATTGTATAAGCTACTATAAATATTATTTGAGCGAAATTAAGTCTTTTTTTTATCCTAATTAAGAATTGTTTCGCTTTTTCGAATGATAGGGCTAATTAGAGTAACAAGAATAAAATAAAACTGATTTTTTTTTTTTTAAATTTTGTTCAAGCAATTAAATATGAAAAATATAGCATTTAATTTTTCCTCTTTTTAAAATATATACTCGTATAATATTTTATATTTATTTATGTATATTTTTATTATTTACTCTATAAAATATATAATTTTATTTTATTTATAATTATATTTTTATATTAAAATTTTCCCTATATGTTCTAAATTATTTGTTAATTTTTTTTTTTCAATTAATTTTTTGTATTTAATATTTTACTATTAAGTTTAAAATAAATTTTAAGAAAAAATTTTTTAAATATTATTTGAAAAACAAAATTATCTAAACTAATTAACTATTCAACAATAAATGTTGTTTTTTATATATATATATATTTATATATATATAAAAGTATATATATATATAAAGTATTAAAAATATTATTTTAAGTTTTTTTTTTTTTATAAATTCAAACATATATAAATTAAACATATTCAAAAATATTTTTTTTTTTTCTTAATGAATATTTTATTAACTTTTTCTTATTAAAAAAAAAAAAACATTTATAATTTTTCTTTAATATTTTCAAATAATTCCACAAAAAAAAAAAAAAAAAAACAATAAATAAAAAATAAAATATCGAAAAACTATATATAAAAAAAAAATGCTAAATTAAAATAGACGTGCTCAGTATTTCCACTTGCATTGGCCGGTGGTCTTCATGCAGGCATGTCATGTTTAGGAGATCCATTATTAAGGGGGGTACATCTGTCGGGAGCATTACCTCAGCATCATCTTCAACATGTAACTGATGTGAGTTAATCGTATTGAATTGGTGCTGCCCTTTTTACCTTAACTATTTTTTTCCCTTTATTTTTGTTAATTTGTTAATTTTTTTTTTTGTCATTTATTTTTATTGAAATATTTAATGTTCCCCCTTTTTAAAAAAAAATTAAAAATAAAAATATAATATAAAAAAATTTTGTCATATTTTTTTTCCTTGAATTTTTTTTTTTTTATTAATTAATTTATTATTATTAATAAATAATATATAAAATTTTTTTTTCAATTAATGTTTACGATTTAATTACATAATATATTTTTTATATTTAAAAATGTTTAAAGTTATATTATGGCCCCTTTTTCCACCCCATGTTTTAATGAAAATAATTATTTTTTAATAATCTTGTTATTCCCCCTTGTATTGATTTTCATTCTAAAAAAAAAAAAAAGATTTTTCTTTTCAATTTTGTTAAATTCAATAATTTTTTTTAAATGTAATCAAATATATATATATATATACAGATTTGCGAATATATTATATATACGATAGGGGTTTTCACAGCTTGATGTAAAAATTACGGTAAATTCAAATTTCCCTCATTAGTGTAAAAATTTCCTCCGCAAATGAAAATTTAACAAATGTGAAAACTTGTTATAGTAATTTTTTATCTTTACAGTAAAACTGTAAAACTGTGCAGTAAAACTGTACAGCAAAGCTGTAAAACTGTAAAAATCAAAAATTACCTTTAATTTTTTTTTTTAGAGTTTTCACATTGAAAAAGTTAATTATCTTGAATTGTACTTTCTACTGCAACCATAAGGGTTGCGATACAGGCTGGAGGAAATTGTATTTTCTCTTACTTTTTTTTAACACTAATACATCAAGCTATGAAAATCCCTATAATAATTTTCTACATTGTCCATCTTATTTTCTCTAATAAAAAATTAATGTTTTTTTTTATTCTTTTAAATTTTAAATATGTATATATATACATACATATATGTGTATATATATATATTTGCATATTTAAAACAATTAAAAAAAAATTGAATATAAGTAAAATACCCCCCTTTTAATAATCCCGGACCTAACCGCCTTTTTTCTGTTTGAAATTTAAATTTTTGTAATTCATTATCTTAAAAAAAGAAAAAATCAAAAAACAAACAACAAAGTTCAAATATTGTCATAAAATGTTTTTTCTGATTGATTTTTGTTTTATGTTAATTTTTTGTTTTTCGTATTTTATTTAAATTATTTCTTTACAAATTTATATGTAAATACCGTAAATTTGTTTAATATAATATAATGGAAACAATATTAAAAGAATGAGAACAAATTAGTAAAATTATGTTAAAAAAATTATACAGAGTGTAAAAATTTTTTTCATAATCCGAAATTCATAAATAATTATTTATGAATTTATTAAATATTTTAAATAATTAGTTCATAAATTACTTAGTAGAATTATTTTTAAAATTAATACTTGAAATAAACTTTTAACATTAATTTTGATAACGTTTTGAATTTTGATTCTATATTAAGTTAGGAAATATAGGGCGTAAGATCATGTATTTCACCTCGTTATTTTGTATATAGGGTGTAAGATCGTGTATATCATGTAAGTTGAATGACTAACATATATGTATTTGTTTAATGTAATTTTCGAATGAGTGGAATTTTTCCATATTGCGTATCTCGTATTTTTCATTCGAAAATAAAATATTCTTATTGGAGAATCTTGATTAGAAAATGATCGAACAGTGAGATTAAAAACCGAGATACATGAATAAGGCTGTTAAAATTTGATTATCTGAACAGAAAATATACGATTTACTTAGAATCATTTTAAATAGAATTAAATAATTTTTATTACCTTAAATTAACAGCCTGATCGTGTATCTTACTTTTTCACCTCACATTTTAATCACTTTCAAATTAGAATTCATCATTTTTCTGATGTATATTCCATTTTTCCAATAAGATTACTAATTTTTTTCAATTGGATTTTTGTATTTTTTTTTTTTCAAATTATCGACTGAACGTCTCACCATCAAAAATAAAGTGAATTAATTTTGTATACATTTTAGAAAAAACGATGCTGAATAATTACATAATGCTGAATAATTCTTCCCACTCGAAAATTACATTATACAAATATAATATGATAGTTATTCACTTTCTTTTCTTTTGGCGAGATACACGATTAGGCTCTAAGATTTATATTAAGATTCAGGTTTTGATTCAAATTAAAGTTTGAATTAAGTTAAAATGCTCTTGTGCTTTTCAAAAAACAATAAACAATACAAATGTACAATAGGAATTTTAATTTTAAATTAGAAAATATGTTGCAAAAATTTCTTAAATAATTTATAAATTTTTGAAAAAATTTTAATTGAAAAATCATCAAATTTTAATTTGTATTCAAATAATTATTCTAATTTTAGATTAAATATAATTAATAAAAACGAAATATGTTTCATTTTTGTTTTTGTTTTTATATAAAAAATGTAGTACAAACAAAAGTAGTAGTTTAAATTTTTTTAATGTTTAATCAAAGTATTTATTTAACTTAATTAAATATTATATATAGCTGAAATATAAAAATTATCGCATTGTTTAATAATATTTTAAGAACATTTGTTTAAAAAATAAATAATTTATTTAATTATACAAAAAAAAAAGTAAAATTTCAATAAATTCTTGTTTCTACGGGAATCAATTTAATATTTTCTATATTATAAATTTTAAATTGCTAAATCGTATGTTGTTTTATATGAAAAAATTATAAAATGATGATTTTTCAAAAAAATTTCAAAGTTTCATTTATTTCAATCATATCTAGTACTTTCTAAATTAAGAATTTTATCATCACAATACGCACAATAACTTATGCGTATTGTGATTATAAAATACAAGGTCTTGCAAGAGTATTTTATTTTGTTTAATTTTTAATATTTTATTTTACAAAAATACAACATTTAAGGCAGTTAATTAAAAATGAATTATTAATAGATCTAGGTCCATCAATCTAGACAGTTGCTTTTATTATTGTATTTAGTTGAATAAATTCAATAAGCCGCAAAATATGCAATTTAATCTAGTATAAAATTGGTAAATTTTTGTGTAAATAGAAAATATAAAATAGATTTTGTTATATAATTTTATTTTTATATATTAGAGATATAGTGAATCAGATTAGGGTTAATTTTATAATAATTAGTCTATCGCGAAATTGTTTCCGTTTAGATATAAATCTTTAGTAGTTGTAAATATCTTTAATGTTTATTTTTAACACCGTTAAAGAAATCTTTGATAGACATCATATTTTTGATGCACTCTGTATAATTTTTTAAATAATTATAATATTTGTTTTGTTGAATATATATGATTATATAATATATATATTGTATATTACATATGTTTTAATTTATTTTTTGTTCTTTTTTTTTTCTTTGTAAATTCTGCCTTAAAATACATTTATGACATCTTAATATTGTACCTACCCCTTAAACTTACCGAATCACATATAACATACCAATATAATACATACATATCCATATTTATTATTATACATATACATAAATATTATATTTTATAAATAATATTCCAAATTTAATTTTTATATGAAATATTTATTGTCTTTTAATATTGAAAAAGTTTAAAATGTTATTATTGTAATATTTACTAAATTACTTTTCGAATTTGCAAATCATACAATCCAATGAAATGTTTAATAAAATAATTTAAAAAATTTTAAAATTCATTTTGTAATATAATTATGAATTTCGATTTTTTGATATTTCGAATTATTAAATTAAAATATTGAAATTATTAGGCGATATTTTACATCTTAAAACATTAAATAAAAATTTTATTCTGTTAAATAAATTTTTTTCGATTTCTGTTTCCTTTAATTCAATATTAAAAAATTCAAATAATAAAATGTAAAATTTGTGATTAAATATTGTTGATTCCACTATAGTGATTCTAAAAAAATGATTTGAAAAATGTTCTATTATATGGTAATAGTTTTTCATAACATGTCTAAAACTCTTAAATGCGAACATTTCAACAAAAATATAAAATATTAAAAAAACTTTAGTGTCACCACAAGAAACGTTAAATGATTACGAGTACAGATTAAACTGTTTTTTATGACAAAATATTTAGAAGTAATGAGTTAAAAAGGAATCAATTCAAATTTTAATTAAAAAAACCCTTGAAATTTTTATTTTTACATTAAATTTTCAATTTAAAGCTTCTTACTTTAACTTCTTAATTTAACTGGAAAAGTTTTATTTTAAAAACTGAATAATAAATAGTTTTCAATACTAATTTATTCAAATACTTAAATTCTTCCTTTCTCATATTTAATATTTAATTTGTATACCATAAAATTTTACATTACAAAATTTTTATGACATTTAAGCATAAATGATATCGCTTATTTAAACTATTTTATACATAGCTGTGATATTTTCACATTAGTGATAACTACTGGGAGTTTTCACTTTGCTGAGTGGGTAAAAAATTTCATTTGCTCATTTGAAAAATTTTATCGAAAAATATTCTAAATTATCTTTGATTTCAAAACTCCCGTAATATACGGTATTAAAACGCAATTAAGCTTATAACTAATAATTTTTAAGTTATATATCAATATAGATAATGCTATTGTAATTTTCAAGTCACGGAAAATGACTTAATATTATTTTAAATAGCATAATGGAATTATATTCTGCTAAATTTTTTATCAAACACCATTTATACATATATAAAAAAAAAAAGAAAATTGTAGCAAGTGAAATTATTTAAACAAAAAAAAAGTTCGAAATATTGTGATCAATTTAAATATCAAAGGTTACGAGACCGGAATGTCATTAAGTTGACAAAATTAAAAATTTCATTCTATGGTCTATTTCAAAATATCGAAGCACAAAATGCATTAAATGTTAAATTGTGATTTTATTTTATTGTGAATTGTGATTAAAAATTTTTTGAAATCTCTGTATTTTAGGAACATTAACTAAAATTATTTATTTTAATAGAAAATATAAGAGAAGTAAAATTTTATTGAATCAAAATGTTAATCCTTATGAACTTCAAGGTTTAAAACTTTACAAATTAAAGCAACAAAAACTTTTTTAATATTTAAATACATATACATGTGTAATATATATAAATTAGTGCATTATGTTATAATATGTATAAAAAAAAAATTATATTCAAAAAAACTTTTTTTTCTTTCTGAAAATTAATTCAAATGGAATATAATTGGAAAAATTTATAATGTTAAAGTAAATGTATAAGGTATAATGTTTTTTTTTCAATAAATTTACACATATATTATTGTTTTTATATACATACATATATATTCTTTAAATATTAATATATTAATTATAATATATATCATATATATATCATATATATCATATCTACCTTGTGGCTCCTAAACAATCGGATATTTTGAAAATATTAAACAAAATTAAAATGAAAAATTTTCAAAGCATGTGGAAATTTTGTTTGTTAATTTTATACACATATATATATATATTTATTCATATTATATATATAAATATATATGCATGTATATGTATAATTTATATATATATATATATATATATATATATATATATATGCATATATGTCGAATAATATTTTTTTTTTCGATTTGTATATTTTATTATTAAATCATTATTATTTAATTTTTCAATATAAATGTACCTTAATTTACATACATATCTATATATTTATTGTCTTTTTTAATTATTATATTAATTAATTTAATCATTTAAAAATTTTGTTGTTCTTCTTTATATTTAATTATTAAAATTAAATATTGTTTTTCTTCTTTTAAATATTTTTATATGTGTTTGTTATTTAAGAATTTTTGTATTATTCAAAAATAATAATTGCACCAAAAAATTTAAAATTAAATTAAAATAAAATAATTAAAGTAGATTATTTTATTATAGGAATTTTTTTTTTTTAGAAAATAATCTATAAATATAATTATATACATATATACATGATATAAATTGCAACATAAATATGCATAAATAATAATATTTTCTTTTTTTTTCAAAAATATTTTGTAAGGTTAAATGATTAGTTTTGTATTCAATTTGAATTCATTTTAAAATTTATATATTTACAAAATTCTTATATATTAAAAGAATATATATATGTTTTTGGTTATACATGTTTCAATAATTATTATATACATTATAAAAATTAAGTTTTTCTGTGTTGTTTAACTAAATTTTTCTATTTATAAATTACAAATTAAAATATAATAAAATTTATTTAATTATTGTTATTTATAATGAAAAATTTCTTAAATTATTATATATATATATTAAGAATTCAATATGGCTGACATTTATGGGTTCGTTAATTTCGGTTATTCATTGAAAATTGTTAATGTTTTTTATTCATTGAAAATTGTTAATTATTTTTGAATGCAGAGGGGGGGGGAGTATATTATAAAGAGTTTTTAAAATATTAAAAAGAAAATTATTTAGCGGTTGATAATATTAATTTTATTGAAATAGAGGATATAAGAATAACTAATGGAAATTACTTAATACAATTGCATAACTATCTAGGTAGAGCGTCTGTTTAGAAAGCGGTAGGTCACTGATTCGAGTCTTTAATTTCTAGTTCGAAATTTTTCTCCCTGAACTCGTTCCTTTGATTACTTCATCCATCTGGTATGAAGATGTATGAAGATGGTATGAAGATTACTTCATCCATCTGGATGCAATTGTATGAAGAAATTTTCATTAAATATTCTTTTAAAAATTAATAATAAATATAAACAACTACACATTGTATTTGTAATTAATGATTGAGGGTATTGTTTTCACTTAAATTTTAATGAAATATAATTTTTAAAGTTATTTAAATATTAATTTTTCGCTTTTGCAGTGTGCCTAACATCTGTAAACTTCTATATAGCAAATATCATTATTTTAATTAGCATATGTTTTTACTTTAATATTAAATACTTCTAATATGAAAATATCAAACAATTTTCTAAATACATTTCAATTAGGTAATCATAATTTTTATATGCCATATATTCAAAATATTTAAAATTAAAATTTCCTTTATATAAATTCAGTAGGTCGTGGTTTTTATGTGCAAAAATTAAGAATTAATTATATCATTGGAAAACTTACATAATTTTAAATTTCATTTAAAATCATATAAGTTTTTCAATTTAATTAATTAATAATTATAAATATTCGGTTTAAAATTAATTTCGTATAACACTTATACTTTAGACAGTTTTTTTTTTAAATTCTTTTGAAAAAAAAAATGTAAATTGTTTGTTATCAAAGTTTACATGATTTGCAATTCAAATTCAAAAGTTTTTAGTTATTTAAAATTTCATTCAAGTTTTTGTTCCTTAAAACTTTATTAGCTAATTGCTTTAAATAGTTTTCATTTGAATTAATGATTTTTTGATAATATTATGCTCGAAATAGAGATAAGATTTTAATAAACATATTTAAAATTATACTCGAAATTAAATATTAAAAATTACTTGTTCTTGGAATAGAAATTTTAGATAATGTTCGTATAATATTTTAAGTAGCCTTAAATATTAATTTAATTAAATAAGTGAATATTGTTACTTTAGAGTTAGTAAATTATAATCATTAATAGAACATAGACAAACTGAAAATTATATTGATCACATGCATTTTTGGAAATTTTTTAGAAAATATAAAATTTATTTCTATCACAATTTTAATTTAAATTAAATTGTAACACAGAAAAACTATTTTTTATTAGTGACTAAATAATTTTATAATTTAAATTACATCATTCTATTTTTTAATTTTTGGTATAGAAGTAAAATATCTATAAAATTATTATGTATTACTGCAAAAGTTATTAACAAATTTTTGATAGTTTCTTTACATCACCGTATCGCAGTTTATGACGTGCATATTTGGAAAACAGAAGGGGACTGGTTCAAATTTCATATTACTAGAAATAAATTTTGATTAGTGATATTGATAAATATTGTAAATAATTCGATATTATTATTGTAAACACAAACCATTTGTATGAAATGGTTTGTGTGTATAATAAAATTTTTGAAACTTTTACGATATCACTATCAGTTACTGATTTGATGCTTAGAATAAGCCTTATTGTCCCTTTTCCTTTAATATTTTAATTTTTTCCAGTGATGTAAAGAAATCGTCTCTTTTTTTAGGAATTAATTTTCAATTTTAATTAAAAGATTTTATAATTTACTTAAAATTTTATATTTTGTTTATTATAATTCTATTAGCATATACGTATATATGTGTATAAACTTTTCATTTATTTGTTTATTTATTTTTTTTTTCAAATCAATTCCATTTAGTTTTTTTTCTTTTAATATTTGTAATTCTCTATTAATTTTAATTTAAATAGTTTTTGTTCTGTCTTTTTATTTCAATTAAATTAATAATTGATTATAACAAATTAATAATGAAAAATAAAACACGAAAAAAAAACAATATTATTTTTCTTCAGCAAATTAATTTTTTAATTATTTTTAGGTCTCAAAAAATCCTTTGGCCAGTTTAGCAGCTTTGGGATTAGCCCAAATGGCACCAGCAAATACAGGTGGTTTAAATCCAGCTGGTATGTACAAAGATTACAACAAAAGATCTTTTTTTTTAAATAGAAAATAATTAACCATTACTGTTTAAAATAATAGTAAATAAAAAAAAAATAAAAAAAACATCGAAAATTTACTTGTAAATTTCATGATAATGTAAAAATTCCAAATTATTTTGTGATGGTATGATCCTGGTATGCATGATGATATTTTATTTTATTTTATTTTCCTTTTTAATTTTTATAATATTTAGTTATTTTTTTTGTATAGTTTTTGTCCTATTGTAAATAATATACTTTACTATTTTATTTGTTCTGTTCTGGTTATGTTTAAATTAAAAATAGCAGTCGAATATTAGAGTTGTATTCATTTTTTAAATTTGATTCGGAAAAAATGTAAAAATAAAAAAGTTCAGCATATTTTAGAGAGATGTCAGTCTGTCTGTCTTCCTATCTGTATGTCTGACTGCCTGTCTGTCTGTCTGCCTGTCTGTCTATGTGTACGCGTGTATATCAAGTTTGGCTGAATCGATTTTGATGAAATTTTATGTGTGATTTTATTTCGGTTATGTCACGGATTAAACAATTTTTGCGATATGCCAGGCCTCGTAAAGTAGGTCTTTTTACGGACCGGTTTTGCATTTTTGATAATTTTTGAGAAAATATTTAACAAGTTTTCTTAAAATTTTATCTAAAAGTTAAGTTTGACAGTGCGAGAAATTACCTTACTTTTGGAAGAAATCAAGTGATAGCAACTGGACGTTTACTATGAGCCAAATTAACATTTTAGCTTACATAAAGCGAAATAATCAACCAATTTCCTTGGAAGTCAATGTTTAAATTCAAGGTTTTAAAACAATGAATTTGTAAATTTTTATTTGGGAATATCACAAATCGCATTTATATAATTTACTCATTTATTAATCATTTTTTATATTAAATAATTTATGTCATTTATGAAAAAAGAAGTATGCTGTTTACACAAAATTTTATCATTTTAAATTTTTAAATAAATTTTATAAAATTAAATTTTAAAACTAACACAAAATTGTTGATTTAATAAAAAAAATTCTTATTGTATTTTAAATTTATTATTAAAGAAACAAAACCTTTTTCAATTACGTAAAAATAGAAAAAATTGAAATAATAATTTTCAATTTTTTTTTTCTTAAATATTTCTATACATATTAGTTTTATAATTTTTAATTATTTAAATTTGTATATTAAATGAAACAATCATTTTATTCGACTGTAATTGATTATTTTTGGCATGAGAATGTAATTTACACTTTAGTAGTACATTATTTATACATACATATGTATGACGTATGATGGCCATGTTATTTTCCCAACATTTGAATTTGTAAACTTGTAATAATTGTAGTAGAAAACAAAAATCAAAATTTTTTTTTTTTTAAATTTATAAAATAAAATTTCTTACATCAATTAATTGCATAGATAATTAAAATACTAATTTCATTTTTTTTCCTTTTTACCTTTATTTATTTGAATCAGTGTTTTAATTCGAGAGTTTGAAATTATTAGAAAATATAACAATGTTGAATTTTACAAAATGTTCTAAATGGAAAAGAAAAACCCAATTTATTTTAACAATAATAAATTTTTTAATTAAATTCCTTTTGATAAGTTCATGTAAGATAAGAATTTTAGAAGTTATTTGATAAATAATCGAAAAATTAAATAAGACAAAGCTTTTTTAAAAATTAAAAATTTTATTAAAAAAATAATTGGTTTCCTAGATATGCCCAGTCGGTATTTTATATACTTCACAAAGGTATTCGATTTTTTTTTGTTTTAAATTGAAATATTAAAGAATTTTCTTGGCAATTTCATTCTGAAAATTCTATTATATATTTAGAGAAAATAACTGAGCAAATTTGCTAAAGTAATTTACTAAAATTCAATTAATGGTAGAATTAACTAGATTTTCGCTTAAATAACTTAAAAATATTTTTAAAAATAATCAATTAATTTATACACTGAAAAAACATAACAATTTTATATCTGAAGTTGCTAAAAAGTAATGTATATAGCTGACTTGTTACATATTGTAAAATGTAGCTAGATTTTATAACTATGAATAGACCTTGTGAGATTTTTCATCTGTATATCACAAATAAAAAAAAAAATTCTAAAATTACTGCGTAATATTGAAAATTTAGTTAAATATTATGATAGTTTCTGCAAACAGAACTTGTTCACTTATATTACTCTCACTGTAATTGCTTTTGATTATGCAGTAATAAAATATTGCTGTAATAGCTAAAATATATGCCAACAATTTGGTCGATTTATCAATAGCATCTTTTTCTATATAAAAAATCTGGAAGACAATACGTACTTGAGTCAAATTACATAGTGTTGACTGAAATAAATAATTGGAAAAATAAAGTTTTATGCTGTATCGGTAATAAAATATGGCTTTGTGTAACGGAAACAACTTGTATTTTTGATAGTGCAATAAAACATGGATACAAGACTATGGCAGATGTAGTAATGTATTTTTTTTTAGTGTAATTCCGTCTTTATTTGTTCGATATTTTTTTTCATTCCGTCTTAATTCGTTATTTGCATATAAAATTTATAAAGAAAATATAACAGCTATTGTTATACAAAAAACTATAATTATTGTTATACAAAATTCTAATTATCGATTTGTAGCCTATTTACTGAGAGAGGCTAAGCACTGAGAATATAGAGATGATAAGTAAAGTTTTACACGATCCAATTTTAATGATTTAATGTCAATCACACAATTACAGATGAATTCAAACTAATAACACTGATTCAAATTATATAAAATTTTTATTTTTTATATCATTTTTTTCCTTTTTTGATTTTTTTTTTAATATTTCACCTTGTTTTTAAAGAAAAAATCTCATGTAGTTATTTTTTTTTTTTATCTTATTATAAATTCAAAATAAAAAAACAATAAAAATCCAAAAAACAACAAAAATAAAAATAAAAAAAAAACAAACAAATTGTATTTTTCGTTTTTTTTTCTTCTTCTTTTTTTTTTATATAATTTCAACGTTGTTGTTTTTTTTTCCCGATTTTTTGCTCCCTGGTTTTGAAATGACAATAAACAAATATCCATTGTTATTTTTATTTAGGTCAATTTAATTTTTTAGCTCTTGCCGCATTAGCTGGATCTCAGTTACGTACAAATAATACAAATCGTAATCAACAACAACATGAAATGACAGTGCCAAATGACTTAATAGGTTGTATCATTGGTAAAGGTGGTACTAAAATAGCTGAAATACGCCAAATATCTGGTGCTATGATACGTATATCAAATTGTGAAGAACGTGATGGTGGTAATACCGATCGTACAATTACCATTAGCGGTAATCCAGATTCTGTTGCATTGGCGCAATATTTAATTAATATGAGGTGAGTTTTATAATGTTTAAAAAAATAAGGAGAAAAATAGAAAAAATTAGTTTATTTTTTTTTTGTTAGAAAATATCTTTTTTTTTTTCGTTAAGTTATGTAACAGAGCCAGTCAAATAGAATAAATAAAAACAAGTACAAATAAAAAAAAAATTTATATATTTTTTTTTTTAAAGTAAATATATATTTTTTTTTTTGTTGTTAGCTTTATATATACATAATAAAAATGCAATTAAATTCCTAAATAAGAAAAAAAAAATACAACCAACCAGTTACGAAAAAAAAAAATTATAAAAATCCACAAATCAGTGTAGATCATTTTTTATTCATTCATACACCGTTTAATTTTCCGTTTTATATTTTAATTTTTTTTTTTTTTTTAAATAAATTATTATTTAAAATTTATTTTTAATTTTTTTTTTAATTTGCTAAATATATAAATTTTCATTTTAATATTTATTTGGTTTAAGTATATAAAGAGCTTCATGTAGCACAGAAATGAAAAAATTTGCAAAAAAATAATTTTTTAATTAAAAATTTAAATAAAATTGAAATTTTCATTTTGTGCTATGGTGATTTGATATATTTCATATTAATTTAATATTCTATGGTTTGAGTCAATTTTTCTATACCATAATGTTCATTGCATAATAATTCATTCATCTTTTATGTCTTAAATACAAATTATATAAATTAAACGCTATATAAATTTTATTAAAAATTAATGGTAATTTGTTATATAATTTACATATTAATTTTATTCATTAATTTATAACCATTCATTAATTTTATTTCGATATTTGGGAAATCTGTTTCTGTATATATATTCATTGAACCAAAATCTTTAAATATAGCTTAATTTTTGTAATTATTAATAAATTCATAATAATTATAAGATACGTATAAAATATTAACAAAGATGGTTTATTGGAATAGAGTGATCAGCTATTTATTTCTTTAAAACTGTATCAAAAAATCTATTAAAAGCACAAGGTTCTTTCCCCAGCTCTTTGATATAAGTTTATTTTTTTAGCTGTACACATATTTCTTTTAAAAATAGTTTATAGAAGATTTGTTGTTTATAAAATTTTATAATAGGCCGAATCTTAAAAAGTGTGATGTTCAAACGTTTTCACTTGTTTTCTAACATTAAAATGTTGATTTAATTTTTGAACTTGTATAATTGTTATATACCAATATATTATTCGTATAATGAAGCTAAAACATGAGTAAAAAAAAATTATTTTGTTTTCTGTAATATTTATTAGCATTATATCTGTGATCATTCGGAACTTGAATTATTATTTTGTATGTTTTGGTTTTATTTCAAAATATCTAATTACTTTCTGTTTTGTATTTAACGGAATTAGATTATATATATTAGATTATATAAATATAAAGAAAAATTGACTCATGTGATGGAATTTTTAAAAATTTAAATTTTATTTATTAATTTTTTTTTTTTTTTTAATTTTAATATTTTTTTGTTTAATATTCATTTTAAATTATTTTATCATTACATGCGCTTAAAACAAACAAAAAAAAAAAGGAAAAAAAAATAATATTTTTATTTAAGAAAAAAAAAAAAAAAAAAAAAATCCTCCGCCTTCCCAACCACCACACACCTAACAAAAAAATCCATCCATTTATTCTTTCCCAACAGCGTAGAACTCCAGAAGGCCAATCTCCAAGAAGCAAATAACACATCAATTGGAAATCAATCGTCCACATCAAACACATCACAGGCAACGTCCTCAACATCCTCTAATTCATCCTGTAACAATAATAATAATAGTAATAATAATAATAATAATAATAACAGTAATAGTAACAGTAATAATAATAATAATACAACACCCATTATCAGCAATAATCCTTTAGCTTCAGCAGTACCACTGGCTCAATTATTATCAAAACCAGGTGCATTAAATGCCCTATCAAGTTTAACAGCATTAGGCGGTTTAACTGAATTATTAGGTGGCTTAGCAAATAATTTGGGACCACCAATTCAAACAACTGGCGTTCATAGAAATAAAAATTATACAAGACGTTCAGATAATTCAAATAATTATAATGGTGGCGATAAACGTAATGAAAGAAATAAATTTAAACCATATTGAAAAATGAATGAAAATATAAAGAAAATATGAAACAGATGATGATTTATAATTTTTAAAAATTTAATATCATTATTATTAAAAAATAAAAATTGTTTTTTTTTTTGTTTCAAAATTAAATAATTAAAGATTTTTGGCAACATCTGTTTAAAAATAAAACAAGAAAGAAAATAGAAATTGAAACAAAAATTATTGAAAAATTTCATAATGGAATTAATTATTTAATAAATTAATTCTTAAAATTAATTATTATTATTATTAGATTTTTATTAATTAAATATAATAGACTCGAATTTATATATACTTACATATATATATATATAAATATATAATAAATAATTTATATAAAGTATATACCATTATTACAATAATTGTACATTGATTTATTATGTTATTATAATTATTATTAAAATAATTATAATTATTACACACTCTTTTTAATTATTATTATTTTCTAAATGTTAAAACAAGTAAAATAATTATAAAATATTATATAATAATATATTTTAATTTTCATTATTAATTAAAAATTTTTCAATATTAAGACAAAAAAAATTTATTATACACAGTATATAATACACTTGCATTAAAAAAACAAAAAAAGTTTTTTGAATTTATATACAAATAAATATATACATACTACATACATATTTATATATACATAATTATATACACTATATAATAAACTATATAAATGATATTTGAAACTTAATAAACTGCTTAAGAAGTTATAAGAAAAAAAAATTGATTTAATTTATTTCTCTTATATTATATTAATACATATATATATATATATACATATTACGAGATATACAACGTTATTGAAATAATCTTTTTAGAGTAGCTAGAAAATGCATATTTTATTGTATAGGAATTAAATGCGAACTAAAACGCAAAATTTAAAAAAAAAAAAATTTTTTTTAAAACTTAAGAAAAATGAGGAACCAAAAATTAAAAAAAAAAAAAAAATATTTTAAAATATTTTGTGATTTATACAATAATTGTAAATGTTTTTTAAAATGAGGTGAAAATTGCCTCTAATTATAATAACCAAAATAATATATATTACGTCATACATATTTCTATAAAAACTCTTTTAAAAAATATATCAGAAATTTGAAAGGCTTTTAACTTATTGTTTTTAAACTATCCATAATATTTGACATATTACCAATTTTATATATGCTTCATCCACATATTAATTTAATGATCGAAGTTTGATTTCTTTTAAAAATTTTAAAATTATTTTGTTATAAAGTGGCAATTACGCGACACATGGATCACAGATTTTTCATATGTACGTACGCATACTTAAAATAATATTAAATCAAATTCTATACTTTAAGTAATTCTGATAAATTAATTTTATTGAAATTATTGAAATTCATAATGATATTTTATTTTAAAAATATGCAATTGCATATTTAATATACAAACAATCCAATAAAAAATTACCCACTATATGAAATTATTCATTGGGTATCTATTTTATTCATACCGTATTGTTGTCTTATTCTACGAAATTTGAGTTATTTGTTGATTACTATTGTATATAAAAGTGTATTGATTATCATTCTTAAAAATTTCTTAATATATTTAAAACGTATTTTCTTTATTTCTTGAGAATAATTTCGTTATACATAAAAAATTTCATTAAATTATAATTAGCTTTGAATATATAAAATTTAATAACTTATAATTATTATTGTCTTCTATTCTACATTATTATAAAGGAAAGAGGAAAAAATCAACACATTTTATTATCATGTATATTAAATACATACATGTAAATATTATTTTACATACAATTATACATTTAAAATACATTACAATAAAAAAAAATACCATTTGGTGTGGTTAATTAATATAATATATTAATTTTAATATTGGCAGTTTTTGGTGCTATATTCAAAATAATTTTTAATTTTTTATTATTTCTACACATATACATACATACACAGGAATACATTTTAATAATAACAAGTTATACATAATTTATAATCTCTACATTAATATTTCATTATTAAGATAAAATATAAGATGGACATTTTAATGTCTTGAAAATTAATATTTTTGTTCAGGTCAAAAATTATCAGTCTTTTGTTGTCACCAATTAGTGAATTCCTTTTAAATTTTAATAGAAATAAATCGGTTCTTGTTTGACTTTATTTGTAAAAATTTAACTAGAATACAAATTTAATTAAACTAGAATACAAATTCACAATGATTCTACTAAAAAAATAATTAATTTCAAATGATTTAGTTAAAGAATTATTATGAAAGCTGATTTATCAGATTTATTTGAAAAGTAACAACGACATTTTTTAATTAACAACCATTTTGAGAGCTTTTTATATTAAATTTGATCAATATTAGCATTATATTTATTCATAATGCTTGTTTGTAAAAAAAACAAAAATAGGAACCATATTAGAATGAATAATTTTTAAAATTAAAATTAAAAATACAAAAAAATATTTGAAAAATTTCAGTGGCAGGCAGGCAGGCGGGCGTGTGTTACATTAATCATTAAAATGTTGTGCAAAAAAAAAATTTTTTTTAATAACATAAACTAGTGGTACTTTGCTGCTTATTTTGACAGGCAATTTGTATAATCGATTTTCTTTTTTTTTCATTATAATTTCAATGATAATATTATAAAATAATAAAAAGAATAAAAAGGGGTGTGAAAAAGAAGAAAGGATTAAAATCTTTTTTTTTTCTCAAATCTATGATTTTTTTTTGTCATTTTTTCTATTTAAAAATCTACTTATTCATAATTTATATAAATTTATTCAAAATCAAAATTTTTATAAAAAATTATTAAATTTTCAATATATAATATATTATATTATATATATAGTTATATAATTTATTGAATAAAAAAAAAATGTTCAAATAAATAAAGTTTTTATTTCGGATTTTATTCAATTAAATTCGGCAAAAATTTTAAAATTAAATTTTTTCAATTTAAACTTATTTATTATATTTGAATATATTTTATATGTATACACATATATAAAATAAATAGGAATGAAGATTTTAACTATTTTTAAAGTAAGTAAATTAATAAAATCAATTAAACAAAAAAAAAAAAAACAATACAATAAATTCCTTTTTAAACAATTATTATTATAAAATATAATTATTTTTTTTTTATTTAAAATAATATAAAATTAAAAATAAAAGAATATTTCTCTATATTATAATATATTGACTATATTATTTATATTTTATTATGAATTATAAATTATTGTTAAATATCAAATAAATTATAAAATAATATTATAAATTAAAAAATATATATACTTATAGATAAAAAAATATATTTTTGACCTTTTGTTCTATATATAATAAAATTATATGGAAACTTTTACAAACAAATACATAATATCTTCTCCTTCAAAGAATATGATTTAGTAAATCTATAATTAAATTCAATTAAATTAGATGATAACAAATTTTTTTTACCTTTACGTTAAATTCTTTTATTTATTTATATTTTTTTATTGTTCTATACAAATCGAACTTTTAATATTTATTATTTTACCCTTTGTACTCTTAAGATTTATTATAATTATAATACATGGAAATGTATAGAATATTAAGCTCAAAATTTGACTAATGTTTGTAAAAATATTGAAAATTTATTAAATTTTCATATATTTTAAAAAAAAAAATTGATGAATTTTGTATTCCATACTAAATGATAAAGAATTTAAAAATATTTTTATTATTTTAAATTTTTCAATTCTATATTTGTATGCTAAAATTTATGGAATTTGCAAAATGATATATATCATGTATTTGAGAATAAATTGTACTGGGAAAACAAAAATATTAAGAAATCTTAATTTCAATTCAAACTCTCAATGTTAAATACTAAAGAAAGAAAAAAAATTTAATTACTGAAATTCTGTTGAATAAAAAATTTTTTAAGAATATTCAAAGTAGAACACAGTAATCATTCTATTTCATTTTGACAGTTTAAATAATCGATTTTATTGATTATAATCGAAAAATGTACTGTTAATTTTTATCACGATGGTATTTTTGATTTGCGTTTATGAGATTAATTTTTGAACGAAATTCTTTAAAAATTTACAGGTTAAAGATTTAATTGAACTTCTTAAACAGAATTAATAAAATAATACAATAAAATGAACGTAAATCAAGTACATATTTATATTTATTCAATTAATTCGCTATATAAGGAAACGGATTTCTCTTATATAATTAAATAATTAAAACTTTTACATATATCCCATTTCTTTTTCAAATTTTATTGTTATACTTTGAATAAAAATATATTTTATACTGGATTTCAAAACGGATTTTCACAATAATCCTTTTTATTTTTCTTAGAATTAAATGTATTCTTTTTGATATTATATTTCGAATTCTATAGTATTAAATATACCTTGAGCGACTATATTCTATATAAATGTATGTGAGCTATAATAAATAACAATAACAATAATACATATATGATATCTCAAATCTGTCAATTACATTTAATCCAATTAAAAGAGCCAGAAGATTTTTTTATTTTTTGTTTATTTATTTTCCATAAAATATTAAATATCCATTTCCAGAACCATTCTTTATAATATACATATACATTTTTATATAATATATTGTTATATTAAATTTTGTATGACCATCACCATAATATATATACATACATATTTTAAGAAACACTAATATACACAAAAGAAACATTCCCTCATAAATCTCTTTTTTTTTTTTTAATCGTTCTCTCTCTCTCTCTCTCTTACTCTCTCTCTGTTTCTCTTAGTTCATTTTCATTTGCCATTTTATTCTATATAAATATTATATATATACTTTTATTCATTTAAAGGATAAATATAGGCATTATACCTTATTTAATTTTGTTGTTTATTAACTTGCAAAAAAAAAAAAAATAATAAGGAATCCAAGAAAACCTTTTTTTTTTTTAATATTTAATTGTATATGTTGAAGTTTATTATTTATTTATTTATTTTTTTGTTAAATTGAATTGAAATATTTTTATTATATATTTTATTATTCTCTTTTTTTTTTTTGCAAAATTTTGTCTTTTTTTTTTTTGTTGTTAAATATTTTAATTAAATTATTAAATAAAAAAACGTGAGTTTTTAACAAGAGCTTTTCTATGTATAATTAGGTGGTACACCTTATATATAACTACTTCGTCAATAAATATGGTTCATCTGATCCTGGACTTTTTGATTGAATATTATAATAAAAAAAAAGAATGAAATATCACAAAAAAAAATACAATGACAAAGTTAATATAAAAATTTATAGGCAAAAGAAAAATCTCTTAATTTGAGCTTTAAACATAAAGAAATAATTTTTTTTTTTCAAAATTTGAAAAAGAAAATATTGAAAACAATTCACAATATTATAGAACGTATTCACAATAAAATAAAAGGAATCGAAATTCCGAGGGAGAATATAAAATTCAAGATTCAGATCAACTTGTGTATTAAATGGGAGGAATTGATGTGAAAAAAAATTAAGTTTTTGATATGAGAAAAAGAAAAAATTAAAAAAATAATAAAAAATAAAAAACTAAAATTGATTTCTGAATAAATGGAGGAAGGTATTTATTTCCCTTGTATTCATACAATTTCCTTCCCCTTGATAAAGAAATACGATTTTTTTTTTTTTGAAGTATTTTTATATATTTACAAGACAAACCAAAATATATCAAAAATCCATTGCCATTTTATATACCTACATATATATATATATATATATATATATATATATATATATATACATATATATATATATATTTATATTTATTGTCTGTAATAATATAAATTTTTGTTTGCATTTTTGACCAAAAAAAAATAATTAAAGGAACGTTAATAATATATACATAATTCATATAAAAATTTTTTATATCTATATACAAGTATATGATATATTTAGTAACTATATATATTTCCAATATAATATTCAAATTTTGATTAAAAAAATAAAACCGTATTTAATAAAAAAATCCCTACCAAGAAACAATAAAAAAATCAAAACTGAAATCCAAAACAAATTACTATAACATTATTATATATAATATATATATATTATATGTATAATATATATATATATATATATATATATATATATATATATGATATATATAAATAAAAAAATGTTATATTGCATCCTTTTTGTTATATTATATACCACTACCACCTACATAAATTATAAGTCTAATATAGATTAAAATGCAGTTCTTAATATTAGTAGTGGAAAGCTTTAAAAGAGCATAATAAAATATAAAAAAGAAGGCAAATCACAGTATGTCAATAAGGTTTGCAACATGTGACGATTACTACTTAATAACATACTATTGTGAATTACAAAATAAACAGGTTGACATAATGGGAAAAGACCTAGTAGTTTTTAAGCTTTTCAATTCTAATATTAAAAACTGTTTTAAAACAGAAAAACCTAAATGTTTTTTCCATATTATTGTATACTTATTTAATTTTATTTAATTATTTAATTTTAATACTTATACATCAACCAAAATTCCATTTGTATACTATATATTTTATATATATATATATATAGTCACAACCTAAAAAAGAAACTATATACTACGAGAAAAAAAAGCGTAAAACTTACAATAATTTAAAAAAAAATTTTAAATAATTAAAATTAATTAAAAAAAACCATTTATTTTACATGTTTAAATTTTTTATTTTGTTCAAAACCGTCCCAGAAAGAATTTTGTTTCCCTTAAAAGAATGAGAAAACAAATGAATTACATATACCTTACTTTTATTATACATATTTTTTTATTTTAAAATTACCCATGTTTTTTCTTTAAAACATATTTAAAAAACAAATTTTTTTATCTTTAGTAAATAAACATATTTTTTTTTAATTTGAAATTTAAAATTCCATATAGTTCTCAAAAAACAAAAAATGTTTATTATAAAAAATGTATAATTTAAAATATAATATATAAACAATCGAAATAACACTTTATACAAAAAAAAAAAACTAATTTTTTTAATTAAGAAAATTTAAAAAACGAAAATTGATGCTATATATCATGATATATTGCGTTTATGAAAACACCTACCGTTATAAAACTTATAACAATTAGTTGTGGTTAAAAAGAGGCATGAGTTTGCACATGATATACTGCAGGTGTTTTAAAATTTAAGTATTCATGCTATTGAACCAAACAGTTATTATTTGTTAAGCTTAAATAACATATTTCAGAAATTAGTCGCTTAAACTTAAAATGTCGTTAGAAAATATATTAAAAAATGAAATGTAGAAGAAATTTTGAAAAAAAAAAAGCAAAATTTTTTTTTATAATAAACATTTTTTCATTCCGTTCTGTTCTCTTAATATACAAACATAAATTAAAAATGAAATATTTGAAAAAATTTATTTTTTTTTTGTTTTTTCTTACATTTTTTTTTTGTTTTTTATTTTATTTACTTACTTATTTTCTTTATGTTCAAAATAAAAATCAAAATTACATTTAATATTTCGTATTTATTTCATAATTTTTCAGGATTTCAATGGAAACGGCAGGACTTCCAATACCCGGATACCATTACATTGCTCCAAATCATATAGTTAAAACATCAATTCATTAAAAGACAAGAGAAATATTATAATTATGTTTTCATATAAAAAGTATAAAAGAAGAAAAATCAGCAATTAGAAAATTTTGCGAATAACATCATCAAAATAAATTGCATCGCATCGTGAAATATATATAAATATATATATACATGTATAACATATATTATTAAATATATTATATATATATATGTATTTTTAGCATATTTATAATTATATATATATGTAATGTTCATATAAATATATATATATATATTTAATAATTAATTAAAAAAAAAATAATATGTTAATAAAATAGAAGAAATATGGAAAACAAATTAAATAAGAGAAAGGATTTTTTTTGAAACGTACATAATATATATTATGAAAGAAGACATAATAGAAAAAAGAAAATATACAACACAATGGAAATATTATATTATTATTATATAATATAATTTCAAATTTTTAAAAATATTATTATTTTGAACTGTACGTATATGCTACAAATATTCAACATCAATATTATTATTACGAGTATAATAGCATATCAGCGGGAGTAACAGCCATAATAATAAGAATAAACAACAATAACATCAACTTTAATAATATTATGTAACAACAAACAACATAAAAATACAATTCAAATTAACAAAGTAACAACAACCAAAAAAAAACAATTAAATTATGGAAAAAAACAACAATAATGATAAATTAAAATTTTTTAATAAATTAAAAAACATCAAACAACTATGAGACATCATCAAAGCAATTTAATTAAAGCAAAAAATATATCTTTATATATATATATATTAATACTTTATGTATTACTTATATAATAATTTAAAATAAGCAAAAATATAAAATTATATATTTAATTTATTAATTTGTAAACAAAGTAATATTAAAAAAAGAAAACAAAAAATATTTGAACAGGAGTTTGTTTATGGATATATATATATCTATAAACTCCAATATATATGTATATGTTATAGATATCTGTATATATTATATATATAGTAAATATATATATATATATATACATATAAATAAAAATTACGAGAAAATGAATATTTACAAGATTATAAAAGCGATACTTAAAATAAATAAATTAATTTAAAAAAAAAAAATTAAGGAAAACAAAAAAAAAAACAGGAAAAGCAATCGAGTATAAATTTTTATTAATAATTATTAATATATACATATATAATTACATATATATATATGTAAAACAAATTATTAAACAAATATATAAAAGAAACACATATTATATTTATATAATAAACGTATGAAAAGAAAAAGACTTATATTAACTTTTTTTTTTTTTTTAGTTTGTAGTTAAATTAAAAAGAAAAATTAATAATAATAACAAATGTTTTTTGTTTCTCGAAAATTATTTTTAGAAAATTAAATTTAAAATTGTTTTATTTAAAAAGAAAAATTTTATTCTTAAAACATATTAGATTAATACCAAAACAGTATTTTAATTTTTCATTTTCTTTTTTAAATTTTTTCGAATAGAAGATGCATTAAATTTTTTGTTTTATATAAAATTTATATATTAAAAATTTAGCCAGAAAATATAGTTCAATATAGGCTTTATTTCCAGTATAATTTTTAATATACAACAAAAAAAAAAAATGCAAAAAAAAAATATATTATTGCACATTTAGAAATTATTGAAATTTTAATTGATTTCCAAATGAAAAGGAATTGATTTGAAAAACAAAACTACTATAATAAAAATGATATTATTGAAAAATTTACTAACAAATATATGTATATACATATATATATTTAATACTATATTGGTATTTTTCTAACTTGTATTAAGATTTTGATCGGATATTAAAAACAAAAAAATTTTTAATATTAATTAAATTTTTTTTAAGATTTTTTTTTTTTTTGTTTTTTAATTTTATAGAATATTTTTTATTATTATTACAATTATTATAATATTTAATTTATTTTCAATATTAATTCTTATTTAATTTTTACTATTAAAAAAATTAAAATTATTAAAAACAAAAAGAAATAAAAAAATCAGGTTTTCAAAATCAATTTAATTTTTTAACATATAATTTTAATATTTACTTTTAATTTAATTGATTGCTTTTAATAATTATTTTGCATTACAATACAACTTTTACTTCTTTAAAGTATATTATACAAAATATTATTATTTGTAATTTTAATGAAACTCATAAAATATTATTATTGAATAATTACGTGAAATTTTAATTTTAATTTAAACGCCCCCAAGAATTTATCATTTTTTTTTTTTTTTTTAAATAATAGATACAAAAATATTATGTTTTTAAAAATATTATTTCAAATTTTTTACAAAAAATTTTATTTTATTTTTTAAATTCTTTCATAAATGAAATAAAAAATATATATAATATATATATATATTAATAAATTATTTTATTATATTATTAATTAAAATAATTTTTTTAATTTTACATTTTGTTACAAGTGTTTAAAAAAAAAAAACACAAAATTCTGTTGATTTAAATTGTTAAGCATAAAGGGAAAGTTATTAAAATATTAAAGCTTTTAAAATTGATCAGTGACGATACTGTTATATAATAATTAAACTCAAAACTTATAACGCGCATTTATAAAGTTTTTTTTTTCTTTCTATTTTTCTCTCCTTTTTAATATTTCTTTTTTTTTTATTTTATTTCAATTATATTGCGGATTTTGTATCCAAATGCAATTATATTTTTAAATACATTTAAAGCCAATAACCAATAACAAATAACCAATAGCCCTATTTAATTAAACTAAATAAACTTTGAACGTTGATTAAACATTTTTTTTTGTTGATCGTATTGTTAGATATATTTTAATTATTACAATATATTCGAATATATTCATAGATCATAAAAATTATATCAATTATGTGTATAAATATATATATATATTATTTGTTTAAATACATATATATATTATGAATGGATACATATATACATATATATATATTTGTATACATATTGAATAGAGTTTGAAAAAATTTTTTTTTAATAATTATTAAATTTATTTTGTTTTTGACTGAATGTTGCCACTTAAATATTACTTTGTTAAATAAAACAAAACAAAAAAAAGCATAATATAATTATTAAACAAAATATAAAGCAAAAAAATAAAAAAAAAATATAAAAAATTAATTAAAAAAAAAAATGTTGTGATTTTAGGAAAAATGTTTAGGAAAAAATTTTCTAGTTTTTTAATTTAAAGTATGAGTTTATAATATTTTCATGCGAATTCAAATAGAATCTGTACAAAAATAATAATAAAAAACAAATAATTTGAATAGTATTTAAAAATTAACTTTGTATGTCAGTCTTCTATGATAATTAAATAAATTTTTTTTTTGAAGATTTTATTGCAATTTGCATGAAATATTTAAACCTAGCTTAAGTGTGAAAATATAAAATATAAAATGTAAAAAAAATACAAAAAAAAAAATAAAACAAAAAAGAAATTTTAAAATATTTACAATTAATGACAATCAAAATTTGATTTTAGGCTTTAAAAATTTTGTTTTTATTTTATTTCGTTTTTTTTTTTTTAATTATATGTTTAATTACGTAATTAGTTTTTATTTTATATAATTTGGAAATAAGCAATTGAATTTATTTTAAATAAAAGAAGCAAAAACTCAAAGAGTTTTAAAATATAATAGACTTTTTTTTTATTATTTTTTTTTTTTTAAGTTAATTTTTATGTGGAAGAATAAAAAAATTCTGATAGAAAAGACTTGCTTAAAGGAGGGACACTTTATAATCTCTAAAACAAAAAGATCTTATTCTTAATTTCTAATATTGTATTTTATTGTCTGCAATTTAGTAATATTTATAATATTATTTATTCTAAACAATTATTTACTTATTCAATTGAATCAGTAAAATTCAATAAATTCTTTTAAAATTTCTATTTTACTTTATATTTAAAGAGATTTTTAATATAACTTATTTTATTTTCAAATTAATTTAATATTAGAGTTACAAATTCATATTTTAAATTATGGATTTGGTAATGGTATTATTTCGAACTGAAATTGCTCAACAGAATTATTGAGCATTAAATATTTTATCAAAAGAAAAAAAAAAAAATCTCAAATATTTTAAATTTTTAAAGTGTTATATTAAATATTTTATTTAAGAGCTTATAAGTATAGTAAAAATTTTTCTTAAAATAAATAAAGAGTTAATTGAAGTAATCAATATTTTGGTTAATAGTTAATGAAAAAATAAATATTTTATATGAAAATCGTTAAAATTATTAATTAAAGTTTTTAGCTTAAAAAAATTATCGATAAAATTTTGCTAGACAAAATTATTCATTAATTAATTTTTTGATAATTTTTTATTGGTTTTTTAATTATATACAATAGTAATCATTAATATATTATTTAAACTGGTATTTTTTTAATTACATTTATTTTAATTCATAAAAATTTATTCTATTAAACGAATTTAGATAAATTCATTTATTCAAATTTAAAATTCTATTTCTTTGAAATTTCTGCAATATTAAAAAATTTCATAAGGTCCCAATTAATTCATAATTTAATTAAATATTTCATTTTCATTTATGTCCAGAAGCCAAATAAATATTTCATATTATATGGTAAAAGTATGTGTTAATTGTTTTTTATTTTTTTTTTCTAATACTAATGTTTCAATTTGAAATTTGATATTAATTTAGACTTGGATATTTGTCATTTTTATTATTTATTTACACATGATTTTTTGTTTTATAAATTTTCAAATCACATTGTAAAAAAAAAATCATCAAATCTTATGCATGTAGTGATAAATATTTAGAGAAAAAAATGAACAAAATAACAAATAAATAAAAACACAAAAAAAGTATTTAAAGACAAGGTATAAAATATGGGTAACTATTTTATGGTAAATTTATTCAAAAACAAAATAAAAAAAAATTTATCATAAATAAAATATTTAATAGTATTTTTTTTTTTGTTTTGATTTTTAAATATTATAATTTTTATTATGGCATTATTTTTTAATTTTTTCCGTTTTTTTTTTATTATGAATTCTTCAATATTTTTGATTATGTAATTTGATTGAAATCATGGTAAAAAAAAAAAATTCATATTTAAATTTATATAACAAAAAGTTTAAATATTTTAAAACAAATAAAAGAAATTTTATAAACCACAGTTAAACAAGAAAAAACAAAAGCAAAGAAAGCAAATAATAATAAAACATAATCATTTTATCTTAATGAAAAACATATCTATTTCCTTATCAAAAACCAAACAAATATATGAGTAAAAAAATTTAATCGAATTTCTGTCTGTTTAAGTAAAAAAAATCAAATCTTATCATATCAAATAAAAACAATTAAATTATATTAAAACAAAAAAAAAAAAATTTCAAATACCATATTATATTATTGTATATTTAAAGTAGTTTTGTTGAAGTAATAACCAAATTTTTCACAAAAAAAAAAAAAAATAAAAGAAATTAAAGAAAACAAAATGAATGAATAAATTTAAATCAAACAAAAAAAAAAAACATTTCATACACAACAGATTTAATTTATATTATTCAATCAGGTATGGTAAATAACCAATATTTAAATAATTAAAACAAAACAAAAAAACAATTTAACCAGCATATCGTATTTTATTTTTTATTAAATTATACTTTTTACATAAAATATTATAAACACACAATTATATTACCAAAAAATAAAAAAAAAAAACAAAACTTAGTTACATATAATATAACTTAAAATATGTTGAAAATTTTTACTAGTTATTAATTATTATAATATTATTATATTATGGGACGTTTTAAAAAAAAAATTATGTATTAATAAATATAATTATATATAATATGAAAATATACGTACATTAAATATATAAATATATATTATTATT